GCCACATATTTCATAGAAAACGGAGTTCGGATGAATTTTATAAAAATTGTCAAACTTGCTGCCCCAACTAATCTTGACAGTGCCGAGGCCGTATATGTGAAGCATAATTCCTTGTCGACATGCACTTTTATCGGCCATCAAATTTTATAAGAATTATTTTACCAAGTTGAAAATAAGTTTTTCACATGTAATACTTCTATTTAAGAGTATTTACATGTACCAAAGGCAGAAGCTATTATGTTTAGTACGTGACCCTCAAAGCGTAAGTTCGGGGCGTCACTTACATGATCAGGGAAATTTGGGTCTTCAAATCTTTTGGGTTGCTCCATGTAAACCTCTTCGTCAAGGTAACCGTGGAGGAAGGCATTAGAGATATCAAGTTGCCTAATAGACCAATTGTAATGAACTGCCAAGGCTAGAACCAATCGGATAGTAGCAGGTTTAATAACTGGACTAAAGGTCTCATTAAAGTCAAAACCATCAACATGATCAAATACTTTTGCCACCAATCTAGCCTTATACCTGTCAAGAGTGCCATCAGATTTTTGTTTTACTTTAAAGACCCATTTGTTCCTCACAACCTTTTTATGGCTTGGCCTTGGACAAAGTGACCAAGTTTTGTTGGACAGCAATGCATTATATTCTGCTATCGTTGCATTTAACCAATTCTGGTCCCTCACAACTTGTTCATAGTTTGTTGGTTCAGATGGTAAAATATTAGTGAAAAGGGCTTGAAGAGGATGCTTGGTGGAATAATAGAGGTGATAGTCTGGAAATTGTTTTGGTAATGAGGAGTTGGTCTGAGATCTGGTTATAATTTGTGATGAGAAAGGCATTATGGAAGTAATGGTGGGCTCAAGGTTGTGACATGCAGGAACAGAGATGGTTTCTTGGTTAGGAGATTCAGGGATAGAAGGTTCGGATATGGGGTCAAATATGAGGGTAGTATTAGTATGGTGAGGTGAAGTACGGTGGGAGGGTTCAAAAGAATTTGCTGAGACAGAGATATTAGCAGGTGTATTGATATTAGGTGAGGTTGAGGTAATATGAGGAGATAGGGAACCAGGACTTAAAGTAGATGAATTAGGAATAGGAAAATATGGTAAAGCAACTGAGAAAGGAGCCAGAAAATTAGGAACGGTACCTGATTGAGTAGAAGCTGAAGACTCAAGAGAATTCTTCTGTAAGTGAGGAGTATTGCCGGTTGTAATCAATGCATCCTGAGTAGGGAAATTCAACTCATCAAAGACAACATGTCTTGAGATATAAACCTTTTTGGATTGAAGATCAAGTCATCGATAGCCTTTATGATTAGAGCTATAACCAAGAAATACACATTTCTTACTTCTAAAAGCAAGTTTATGGGGATTATAAGGCCTGAGTAAGGGAAAACAAACACACCCAAATGTTTTAAGCAATGAGTAATCTGGTTGTTTGTTTAGGAGAGTGAAATATGGAGATTGGTTGGATAAGACAGGTGTAAGAAGTCTGTTTATAAGGTAAGTAGCTGTGAGAAATGCATCCACCCAGTAACTTGAAAGAAGGTGTGACTGAGCTAAAAGAGTAAGACCAGTTTCGGTGATATGTCTATGCTTTCTTTCTGAAATTCCATTTTGTTCTGAGGTGTAAGGACATGTGAGCTTATGAAGGAATCCATTTTGTGAGAGGTAATCGTTGAAGGCAGTAGACAAATATTCACCACCATTGTCAGTTAATAGTTGTTTGATATTTCTCGAGAATTGGTTTTCAACTAAGCATTTAAACCGAACAAAACAACTAAACACCTCAGATTTTTGTTTCAATGGGAACAACCAAGTAAATCTTGAAAAATCATCAATAAATAAGACATAAAACTTACAACCACCAACTGAAGTAATAGGGGAAGTCCATACATCCGAATGAATTAATTCAAGAGGACAACTAGACCTATTATTGGACTCAACAAAAGAAAGTTTATGACTCTTAGCAACTTGACATGACTTACATACGGTTTGAGATTTTATTGAACCAGAAATGGGTAACAATGAGTTCTTGACCAATCTAGAGATGATGGATTCTGAAGGATGACCAATCTTGAGTGCCAAACTTGAAGAGGAGCTGTGACACCTAGGAATGCAGTGAAAGTGGAAAGCATAGCAGCCTTAGCAGGTGACTTGTTGAATTTGAGCTGCTTTAGGAACATTGGATATAAACCAGCTTTACTCGGCACTTTGAGGAGAATTCCTTGGTCTGCAGGTCCTTCACAAAGAAATGAGTTGCTGTAAGTAAGAAATAGCAGTTGTTATCATGGCAAAAACGCTGAATGGATAATAGATTAGATGAGGCAGATGGAGAGTGAAGAATATTGGTTAAAAGAAATTTTGATTTAGGTGAAGCAATTATAGAGGAACTAGTGTTAGTGATATGCAAACCTCCTCCATTACCAACTGTCACTTTGTCATTTCCATGATATGGCTGCTGGTGTAAGGTTAGATTCTGAAGTTTAGAGGTGATGTGATTGTTTGCACCACTGTCAAGATACCATGGCTGTTCAGTTTCCTATTCTACTTGATTGTGAGCCACCATTGCGCCAACTAAGCAGGGGAATGCCTGCTTTGATAAGAAAAATCCATGCGATGATAGCAATCAAGGGCTTGATGATTTTGCTTGCCATAAATCTGACAAGGAGAAATTTTGTTTTGAAAACTAGTGGTGTTGGTGGACTGTGGTTTAGGGGGAGGAGTAGAGGAGTTTGAATTAGGATTGGGTCTTGAAAATGGATGATTTTTCTGATTAGGAAATCTTGGTTTCTTATTGAATGGTTTCTGTTTATGAGTGAAGAAGGCCAATTGAGTGAAATTTGATGACTGTGATTTGTTTTGTGCTTCAAGCAGTTGCTCAAAATTAAGTAGTTCAGCTTGAAAAGCATCAAAGGTAATAGATTGGTCTCGGGTAGCAAAGCTTAGAGATGTGATAAAAGGGGTGAAGACAGGATTCAATCCACCAACAATATATGAGATTAGATCATCATCATCAACTGGTTTTGCAGCAGCTAAGAGTTGGTCAGACAAACTTTTAGCTGTGAGCAAGTAATCAGAACATGATTTATCATGTTGCTGTAGTGTTTGGAGTTGTCTCTTAAGATGAGAGATTTTGGAATGAGATTGAGAAGCAAATCTGGTAGCGAGAGCATTCCAAACCTGTTTAGAGATAGTGAGTCCATACACAGTGGAAAGGACTTTCTCACTAAGGGTGGCATACAATCATGTCAAAATAAATTGATCCTTTTTCTGCCAAATCAAATATGCTGGATTGACATCAGAAGTTATTTTTCCAGTTGGGTCAACAAGGAAATGAGAGGGACAGACTTCAGAGCCATCAACAATGCTCAAGAGGTCGTGACTTCTTAAGACTGGGATAAACTGAGTAGTCCAATTCAAATAATTGTGGCCTTCAAGCTCAACTAATACCAAAGCAGTAATATTTGGGATGATGAACGAGGATGTTGTAGAGGAAGAGGCCATAATGAATCGAAAAAAAAGGTGTGAACTTTAGTGGCTCTGATACCAAGTTTAAAAACTGATATGAAGGTTGATTTAAAAGTTAATTCTCCCAACCAAGTATTCTTCATATTTATAGATGGATTACAAGTATTTGAAAATAACAGAAAGATACAATTAGGAAGTTTATTTAGATATTCTAATATCTGATCTTGAGTCCTTGATCTCATTCTCTTCATTTGAATTCAAAATCTGTGAGTTATCTTTAATAACAGAAATGGATATATCTCTAACATAAAGAACTTATTTACAAACATCATTTATGTACCAAACTTATTTAATGTCAAACAAAGCTTGAAGTTAAAGATGAACCTTGGAGAATTATGTACAAAAGTCGCACTAAGAACTTGCAACCTAATGATGAAAAAGAAAAATTAACTATGACTTAACCACTGGTAACTTCGGAAGATAGATTTACTGGAAACCACAAACTTGACAGCATGAAAATTTCACCAAGCTCAGCTTCTTATATATATGTATATTAGGATCATAGCTCAATGCTTAACTCCAAAATTTTAGACGGCCATTTCCAAATCCTTCCCAAAAATATATTGACGCCCACACATGTTTTATGAGAATTCAAATCCATCTTAAAGAAAATTAGACAAATAAAATATCAGCATGATACATAATGACCACCCCAACATGACTTGCTGAGCTTGAACATACAAACATCACAAATTTACAAAACCAAAAGAAATTGCATTTAGCGGATGTAAGTATTATACCCTAGGTCCAATTAACTTTGGACATAAATACTTTTGATATATAATTAATGCAATTTAATGGCAGATCTATTATTTAATTAATAGACAATTAAATAAATAATAGAGTCCGTAGATTCAGATTTTCGTAATTTGTTAATCACAAGGAGTTGTGATTGTGAGATACAAATTATATCTGATTGAATCTTAAATCTTACATCTGTGAGATACAATTAATTAATTGGATTAATTAATTCACGGACCGGATTTAATTAAATGGATTAATTAAATATTGGATCGGACTGGACCAGGCCCGTTTGGGCTTATATAAATACATGGCTAGGGTTTTTAATCCATATGGTTTTTCTCATAATTATTCTTACTAGCACAAGAGGAGAGAACTCTAGTAGTTGCAATCTTGTTCTCTGTGTGGATCACAGTTGGAGGCTGGACAATTGGATAGCTGTGGGTGGAATCAAGATTGCTGGAACGAAAAGAAAAGCAAAAAGTTTGCAGAATTCTTCGAAAGTACAATCTTTATTACGATTTCTATCTAAACACAAAGGGATCCTCGGTGGGAATCGAAAAATTTTAATTTTTCGCTGTGCATGTATAAGTAGATTCCCAACAGCGAAAACACCAAGAGATTCAAATTTGCGATCTCATTACCACAAAATTGCAGATTTAATCGTCTCCTTGGAAACTAAATGAAGATTAACAACCAATCAAAGATAAGCACCAAAGGTCATTCTAACAACTAAGCCACCCACTCTTCCTCAACTATGGTTCCCTTCTCACTGACATAGATACCATCAAGGAACTTCCGGATATCCTTGTTCTTCACATGGCATTTCTGTCAAACAAAACACAAATACCAGTCTCAGCACAAGGTGTGTAAGTACGTGAAAATATTAGCTTCAATATGAGCATTATGAATATGGATGAGTGCATGTACAACTTCCATAAATACTTGTATGGATATACACTGTCTAAAATCTCCATCAACGTAGAGAAAGTAGGCAAGCACATGTTACCTGGTTTATCAATGCACAAGATCGTGAAACAAGCTTAATGTCATTTCCATCCAAAACCAATTCATCCTTAACCTTCTCAAATCTGAGAATTGTGACACCATCAAGCAAATCCACCTTCCTAACCTAATATAGCCAATAGTTAATGTCAACCTAAACTCTGATTCATTCCCAAGATTTCTATGAACGTAAGAGTATGTGAACAAATTGAGGCAGCAATCAGTATCGAATGTAGAATGAATACAAGTCTGCCAAGACAAGTAATTCTCACTGCAATCAAGAACCCCTAATTTTTCCCTAACACATTGATAAAAACATAAATGCATTTGCAGTTTGTTCTCATTAAACGGTTATATTATAAATGATTGAAATCAACATTAATACATACTAAAGAGGAAACTTTTAAGCACCATGGATCAATAGTGGTGCAAAGTAGCTCATTAACAGTTTTTCACTTTATCCTCATATGACTTCCGTAGTACAGTTAAATAAATAATTGATATCTTCTTTGGAAAATCCAATAATTATCAAAGCAAATAAAACAAAGATTTTAAAAGCAGTAGCATAACAAAGGAGGTACCGCTATTTACGTTTACAATTTATATATATATAATTAAATAAAAATATATTTTTGTAAATTCATCCACTAATGTTTATTTACATAAATTCTTTTAAACCTTTTTAGATTCTTTCAGAGTTTTTGGTTAACTAAAATTTTAATAATTATAAAACATCATCTTTAATTAAAATCATAAAAATCATCTTCAATGGAAATTCAAAAATAAAAAATAAAAAATCAACACATTTTGGAGTTATAATTATTTCATGATATGAAAAATGGAA